AATTGTCAACCAGACCCACAGGAGGCCACGTCCAGGAAACACATAGCCAGGCAGACGAGCTCAGAGCCAGTTCCCATGTCAGACATATAGCCAGTCGCAGTCAGAGAAACAGGACTACACTGAAAAACAGGCAGATCTCGAAAATCTATAAACAAAGGTGTTGATGGCAGCAGCACAGCTGATATTTCTCTAATGTCTTTAATTTCTTTATGTCTGTGCAAATTCTGTTATCCAGGTCATGGCCTCTACAGAATATTACAAAGGGTTTAATCCATCTCAGTTTTATGTATTCATTATTGCTTTACCTTTTTATTTAGTTAGTTAATCCAGCCTGAGCAACACGTGTCACCCTTTAGTTGACAAAGGAAAATCAGTGCTGCCTCCCTGTCACTGGTCTTAATCTTTGGAATTAGTGTAAACATCCACCTAATTTAACATCCACGTACATTTCAAACCATCTCTTGAATGAACCTCCATGACACCAAGAGAGTTATGATGGCCTGCAGGTGTAATAATAACCACTGAGGAGGTTTTAACTGAGCCTGACCTAGAAATATCCAGATATGTTGGTCCTGTGGGCTGAAGCCAACAGTCATTTCAAGAGGGGCCAAAGCTGACATCCGTGATCTTAAAACAAAAATGTGATACCGAAAGAAGAAAATCTTAACTTCTATACTGCAAAATGTTCTGAGGAAAAAAATTCTTAAAATATGTGTATTTACGCTTAATTTGTGTAGGAAAATAGGATGATCTGCCAATGCAATGAGAATTTTTACCTTTAAATTAAGATAATTAGATATTATGCACTTGAAATGAGAGACTGCAGTTGTTTTTCCATATTTGAAATGGAAATTGTCTCATTCCATTGGGAATGTGTCTCACTTATCTGCTCAATTCAGAATTTTCAGAAAAAAGTGACTCTCTTAGATTTACATTTTTTGCAGCGTAAAGCTTTATTCTATTTTATCCCCTCCTTTGGGCCGTTTTTTTGCAAAGAATATAAAATCAAAATAGTCCCAAAACTGCACAAACATAATAAATACTCATAAAAGCATTTGGAATGAATGAATTATTACTTTTAAAAACAAGAAATAAAATAATATTTTTTTTAGAAAAGAATCCATCAGACAGCAATGGGAAAATGAATAGACTGAAGCCCCAAGGCTTATTTTTGCCTATCCTGAATCATCATAAGAATAATTCACAATAAAACACTGGTACTAATACATCATTACAAAACACATAATAACAAACTGAAAGATCAAACTTAGTCAAATTTCATTGTAACCTTTTTCATTTTAGATTTCAAAGTCTTCTGGAAAACTAATATGGAGTTACGCATCTTTATTCCATTGTTTAGTCCATTCCATAATTTTGCCCCCAAAACTTAATTTTGCCCCCATAACTGACACACATCTGTACTTGAGATTAGATCTGGCTTTGTAAGTTTAAAACATTAGTAACCCCCTTAAGTTATGAATCCCCTGCCTTTCCCTAAATATTTTATTTACCGGTAATACAAACAGGGATTGTCTTACTTACCACTTGTAACATTATTTCTAATGTTCTTAAAATATACATTATTAACCCTTTATATCGCAAGTTACCATTTCCGATCACTTGAATACGCCTTACAAATGGAGTCCCCTCCATCCCTCAGTGAGATCTAGAAGCACAAGATCTATATCCAGCCATTCAGCAAAGATAATGATACATGTCTGTGCATCTCATTTTGGCATTTTGACCAATTAGATGAACACTTGAATGATATATTACCTACCGCAAATTAAGTTGGAGAAAAAAAGGTAAAAAATTAAAAAGTCAAGAGAAAAAGGGGAAAAAGTTCATTAAAAAGTTAAAAAGTCAAGTTAAAAAGTTAATAGGCCTAGTTAACAATTATATTTAGGATTATAAACAAAAAAAATTAAGTGTCACTATCAGCATTAATGCCTCTAAGGTTATTAAGGACAATTAGTTTTTTTCACAAATTTCTTATAGAAGCACTTAATTTAATTTTACTTAATATATTCGGGCAAGTTGGCATTTCTTGTTATTACATTGACATTCATTTTTGCCATCAAAATGTTACAAAGGTAATAAAGTCTTGTCCTGGAGTCTTGTCAAGTGCCCTATACTGTAAAAAGTTAAATAGACAATACAATTGCTAAATCTGAGTGTCCAACTCCATTTATTATTCTAATAAGGTAGCTCTTTTCTGCAGTTTAATTATTGGATCTAAATTCGTTTTATATACATTTTCCCAAATTTCAGCACAGTATGTCATATAAGGCATCACAAGTGAAAAGTACAGCAAATGAAGACAGGTCTTTTATAATATAAAACAAGTGAACTACTCTCCTTGCTCATTTTATGTGTGCAGATTCAAAACCATAAGGCCCCAAATATGTCACTAGCAAGTCTTCATGCTGCTTCTCTGTTCTCTTGCTTTTTATACTCGTTTAGATTTTCTCTTACTTGTATGAACCTGTTTCTGTGCCTCATGTTAACTTTTGTCACTTTGATGATGGAACCCACCTGAGAACGTAAACCGCCTGTGATTGGCTAGTTTTACAATGAACTCTCATCCATAGTTGATCTCAGACATTCACAGCTGTTAAGCATTTTTCTTGTCATGTCCAGCATTGTGTTTATAAAATGTACACTAATGACAGAGATATAAGTTATGAATTCTGAACAGCTGAAAATGATTTGCACTCTTTATGATCCAACTTCAAAGAAACAGTAATTCTAGATATTTCTAGTCAACGCAACAGCGTAACAGCTTCAAATTTGTACTATTATACACTATGGCTATATTGGAATTCAGGGGATGCGTCCTCCGAAAGGTCAGATTCGAAGACCGATTACATCATAGCGCGTCGCCGAGGTCTGTTCAGATTTCAAGACTCCTCGTTATGCGGCCTACAAATGCATCCTTCTTTTTGAAGGACGGGTCCAGTGTATCCTAGGTATCCTTGAATATCCCATAATTCATTGCGTAACCGCTCCGTGATCGGAGGGAAGAAGCTCCTTGGCGCGGAGCAGTGGTGAATATTGGAAGTG